CTCAAATGAGCTCTGAATTTTTACTTTACTCTTGTCCTTCGTGTTTTCTCTCCTCTGTATATAAGAGGGATTTTTGATTGTTTTCATTAATTCAATCAATTCAAATCAATCCAGTTTTTGCTCTTTTCTTTTTAATCTTCACATGGTATCAAGCCACTACTGCTCCATATGGTTGAATTCTGGTGTTGACAGTTCTTCAAAGAACGTGATAAGTTGCTCAATGGCTGAACTTCACTCATCTTCGTCCTCAGTCTTCAAGTGATAAATCTCGAACTACACAGGGAAATTACTTTCGTAGCCGTCGTTAGTATGACCTACTTGGTTACTTCTAGTTGCTGCAATCTTTGCAGATCACGGTGTCGGGGAATAGTCACATTAAGACTTACAGTTGATACGTCATCAATCTACGTCACTGATATGGTAGAACTTATAGTCTAGCGACCATAGATAGTAGGACAATTCAACCTGATATATTGGGCTTGGAAACGCATTGAAATGTTCGTGTTACCATGTTACTGTGTCAATCGAGTGTAGTGTTCTAGCAACTCTAACCGATGTTTGGTTTACACTTGAAAAGGAGTCCTTCAGGTCTAAAGCTAGGGCACTTACACCTGAAAACTTACCCAGAATACTCAAAAAGGTAGTCTAGTGTAGTGACTACATCAAGAAAATGAAAGGCATAGCTGAAAGTTTAGCATCTAGTGGACAAGTTGTTTCAGATGAAGAATGTCTTCAATATGTTCGGATGAGTAGGTCTGAATTGATGCTGCTGTAGTCAATTTACTTCCAGACTTGAGTCTAGGTTTGATCTGTGAGTTCATTTACACAGTACGCTTCAGATATACTTGCGATCCACCTGATTCCGGGTTCACATAGCGCAGTGAGTAAATCCGTAAACTCACAGTGAACAAGTAACCGACGCATCCTGGCAAGACCGAACTGTAACACCCTCAGTTAGCTCTATGGCAGTCCAAGCCTATTCACACAGTATAACTTCCCAAACAATCTAATCCCTCCTACACACACACATATCCCTGAGAGCTACTGGATCCCACTCGTGAACCAACCTATTCACACTATACTCCTCCACAACCTTATTTCAGTCAGCCTATAGACCGCTCGTCTCCCAATGTGTGAGCAGAGCGTCTGGGGTAGGGAGCAATGGTAGAGGGAGGCCAATTGCCAATCTGTAGCAGTTATAATGTACCGCACGTTACTGCCCGCATCCTCCACCTCAATACAACCCTTCCCTACAACAACTAGGTGCTGGATCATATTTCTCTCGGTTCCCAGTTTCTGACACCTCTGGACATAATTTTGCCAGCAATTTCACTAGTAACATCCGCCACAACAATCTGTCTATGCTTCTCCAGTCACATGAAGGATCACAATTTCAAGGACAGATTATTGAAACCTCTCAACCCACACTCACATCCTTCACAAAACAACCAGGATTCCAAGTACCCAGCAAACAGCAACAAACAACCTAACCAGCCTACCTAGCTCTCACCAGAACATACATCACCAAACACATCTAACCAAGCTTCCTAGCTTCTCAAACAACCTACCTATCAGCTCTCATCCCTCATCAGATCCTGCCTGGTATATGACTCTGGTGCTACGGACCATGTCACTCAGCGACCTTAGTCAGTTGAATGTGGAGCATCTTTATGGTGGAATAAACAGTTACAAGTAGGCAGTCCTGGTGAGTTTCTTGATATATCCCATATGGCTTGCTTCTTTACCTAGTTTTCTACAAAATAAATGTCTACATCTGAAAAAAGTTTTGTGTGTACCAAGAATTACTAAAAACCTGCTCAGTATATCCAAATTTACTAAGACATAATGTTGTGGTTGAATTAACTCTGACTTGTTGCATTGTAAGGACAAGGTTTCCAGAGCAGTGTTACTACAGGGAGACTTATGCTGGGTTGTATCAGTTGAGACTTCCATCTGTCAGTTTCATGACACTTTAGCTCAGTCGTCTGTTCCTCTTAATGCACAAAGCCTAGTTCGTCATCACGTCACAAACCTCAGTCTGTATCTACTCTCAGAGATAAGACACCACCAAGAGTCATAGGGAGTCACAAACTAGTGTCTATTCTCTACTGTTAATGCTGCTGTAACTGATAATAATCACACAAAGTCAGTGCTGGATAGTTGTAATGTCTCTCAAATAAATAAAATCATTTATGTTTTGATTCTGATTATTCTTGTCTAATAAATGATGAATGTTGTTAACAATGTGATATCTCTATGGCTCTCTTGTGGTACTAATAGTCATATTGTGTGATAATACAGTAATATGAATTCTAGTTCTGTTGTTCCTATCTAATGGTTTGTGATGCTGATGGTATTAATTCTGTTAATAAACATCATGTTGTTAATTCTGATAATTGTCTTGATGCTAATGGTTTGATGCTGATGGTTTTCATTTTGTTGATGAACATTCTGTTGTTGATAATGGTAGTAGTAATTCTGTTAATAAACATCATGTTGTTAATTCTGATAATTGTCTTGATGTTTTGATGCTAATGGTTTGATGCTGATGGTTTTCATTTCGTTGATGAACATTCTGTTGTTGATAATGGTAGTAGTAATTCTGATGCAATTTGATAACCAGCCATCTGTCTCTTTTAGCTTTTCAAGTCACCTGTCCTAAACAAAACACTTCATCACTCTGGCATAAAAGATTAGGACATCCCTATTCTGAAGTTTTTCATAAAATTATGTTGCAAGTTAACCATAACCTTCGAAACATATTCCTTCCATTCCTTTGTGATGCATGCCAACTTGGCAAAATGCACAAAAACAGTTTTCTGTCTCTTAATTCCAGAGCTACTGTTCCTCTTGAATTAGTTCATAGTGACATTTGGGTCCATCTCTAGTAGCTTCTATTGAAGGTTTTAAGTACTATGTGCATTTCCTTGATGATTTTAGCAGATTACCTGGCTTTTCCCTTTAAGAACCAAAGCTGAAGTGCATTCTTTTTTGTTAAATTTCATCATTTAGCTGAGAGACAGTTTAATCATAAACTCAAGTGTCTACAGTCGATCAAGGTAGTGAATATAAGGGTTTAGTTCCTTACCTAACCAGTCAGGAATCAGTTTAAGCATTTTGTGCTTATGTTCATCAACAAAATGGACGAAGTGAAGAAAACATAGGCATATAGTTGAAACTGGTCTCACTTACTAGCCCTGCTTCCATGCCTATGAATTTTGGTGGCTTGCATTGATACTGCTGTATTTTAATCAATAGGATGCCATCTGCCGTCTTGATTTTCATTCTCCTATCAGTTGCTGTTTTGTAGATTGCCTCTTTATTCATCTTTAAAAGTTTTTGGATGTGTATGCTTTCCTTACCTAAGAGATTACAATAGGCACAAACTTAGTTTTCATTCATCCAAGTGTGTGTTTGTAGGATAGGTCTAGTTCATAAAGGCTATAGGTGTTTAAGTTCTGAAGGTAAAATCTTTATTACTCCTAATGTTGTCTTTAATGAAGATGAATTTCCTTTTGTGCACAACTTTCTTCAGTCTTCAGTTTCAACTCCTGCACAGTCGACAAACATCCCTTCTAGTATTAGATTTCCCCTCTTGTCAATATCATCATTAGTGTCTCCTACTAGTTTAGCAGCTCCTAGCAGTAAAGTCCTCCAGTAGTATCAGCTCTGCAACCATTCTTCCTTCAACAGTTGGTGCACAAAATCCCCTCACATCACCTTCTCATCAAGGAAATAATGTTTCCAACAACACTTCATCTTCAGAACATGTACCAGTCACACATCCTTTTCAACACCTTCAAAAGTACACCCTATTACCATTCAAAAGCAACACACCACATCACAATCTCACAGCTTACAAAATCAAAAATCTTCACACAATCAAGAACCTTTTTTCGCCCTCTTACCATAGACTTAACATCATCTCAATTTGCCATTACCTCCACTGATAATCCCACTATATCACAGACTCTTATCACACAAAATCAGTCTACTACATCACAAAATCAGGATTCTTCTCACTGCCCTCTTGTAATTGATTTGACTCCTCACAGTTCCTACTTCATCAACTGGTCTACCCTGCTTTACCTCTATGAAACAGATTCTTCACTGTCAACAACCTGTTCTCTACCTCTAAACACCATCCATGTTAACCAGAGCAAAAACTAGTCTTCAACATAAACTGCCCTTATCATATCTGGTCAAGAACCTGTTCTATCTGAACCTAATTCAGTTACTGAAGCCTTGGTCAGTAATGAATGGAGAGAAGCCATGCAACTTGAATATGATGCATTGGTAAAGAATAACACTTGGTCCTTGTTCCCAAGATGAGTGATATGCAGATTGTTGGTAACAAATGGGTTTTTGGACAAAGTTTCATGTTGATGGATCCCTTCAAAAGTACAAAGCAAGGCTGGTTGCCAAGGGGTTTCAGCAAACCCCTGGTTTGGATTTTCTTGAAACCTTCAGTCCTGTAATTAGCCTTCAACCATCAGAATTATCCTAACCTTGCTGTGACAAATGGATGGACATTCAACAAGTGGATGTCAATAATGCCTTCCTCAATGGCACCCTCAATGAAACAGTCTATATGAGACAGCCTGAAGGTTTGAAAATCCTCAATTTCCTACTCATGTTTGCAAATTAAACAAAGCCCTTTATGGACTTAAACAGGCTCCAAGAGCCTGGTTTGATAAACTGAAGTTTGCTCTTCTGGACAAAGGATTTAAAAACTCTATATCTGATTCCAGCCTATCATTTTCAAAAATGATTCCTTCAATCATCTATGTCCTTGTATATGTTGATATCTTAATTACTGGCTCCAATATCTCATTCATACATCAGCTTGTTCAAGATCTTAATGATCAGTTTGCCTTAAAAACTCTTGGGTCTATTAAGTACTTTCTTGGGTTGGAAGCCACAAGAACCTCTACTGGATTCATTTGAAGCAAACAAATACATTGTTGATTTGCTGTCTAAAACTAAGATGATTGATGCTCATGCATGTCCCACACCCTGGCTGTTGGCACAAAACTGTCTTCTACTACAGTGAACTGTTCCAAGATCCAGCCTCTACAGAAGCACCATTGGAGCACTTCAATTACCTAACTCTAACTAGACCCGACATCAGCTTTACTGTCAATAAGCTGAGTCAGTTTTTACAAGCACCAACGGAACTTCAATGGCAAGCTTGTAAGAGAGTTTTAAGGTATATCAAAGGTACACAGTATCATGGGTTGCAGTTCAGACCAGCTGCATCTTTGAATGTTGAATGTTATGCTGATGCAGATTGGGGCAGCAATTTAGATGATCGACGGTCCACAAGTGGGTACTGTGTTTATCTAGGTCCTAATCTTATCCAATGGAGTTCTCGAAAACAGAGAGTTGTTGCTCTTTCTTCAACAGAGGCTGAATATAGAGCCTTAGCACACACAGCTACTGAAATAGCTTGGTTGCAAAGTATGTTTTCTGAGTTAGGATTGATTCTGAAAAAATCCTCCAGTAATTTGGTGTGTTAATGTCAGTGCTGGTGCTCTTGCTGCAAATCCTGTTTTTCACTCAAGGACCAAGCATATTGAGATTGATATCATTACATCAGGGATCAGGTTTTAGCTAAAAAACTCATGGTTCAATATGTTCCGTCTAAACTTCAAATTGCTGTGTCCTTACTAAAGCCTTATCAGTAGCTCAATTCCTTGAATTAAGGGAAAGTTAATGTTGTAGCAATGACCAGTCCAGAAATTGAAGCAGAAGCTCAGATTAAAAGGTAGCAGTTTTGTTGTAAAAATGAAGGTCTGGAGGTGATCTGGAGTATGTGTCGATTTGTGAGTACAGTTTTGCAATTCTGGAGGTCTGGAAGTAGGAGTTTTTTTTGTGTTGTGTGTGTGTAATTCTGAAGGCTTTGTGAGTGCAATTCTGGAGGTCTAAAGGTCTGAAGTTGTGAAAATTGTTGCTTTGATGTGTACTGTGTAAGAAGCAGTTCAGGTATGAAGTGTAGGCAGCTATGCAAATGCAATTCTGAAGTTGTGAAAATGAAGTTTGATGTGTGTGCAACAGTTCTCTCTCTGGTATGTTAGCAGTTTTTGGAGCTGTTAAGTGTAGTTCTCTGCTGGTTTGTTTTGTGTTGCTGAAGCAAAAAAATGAAAATGCAGTTGTTGGAGCTGTTAAAGTGTGTTCTCTGCTGGTTGTTTTGTGTTGCTGAAGCAGAAAAATGAAAATGCAGTTTGGAGCTGATAAAGTGCAGTTCTCTGCTGGAGTGTATGAAAATGCAATGCAGTTTTGACAAATGCAGAAAAATGTGCAGTTTAGAAAAATGCAGAGAAGTATACAGAACAATGCAGTTTGATGTGTGTGTAGAACAATGCAGTTTAATGCAGTTTTGACAAACGCAGAAAAATATGCAGTTTAGAAAATGCAGAAAAATATGCAGAACAATGCAGTTTGATGTGTGTGCAGAAACAATCAGTTTAATGCAGTTTTGACAAATGCAGAAAAATATGCAGACAATGCAGTTTAATGCAGTTTTGACAAATGCAGAAAAATGTTGCAGTTTAGAAAAATGCAGAGAATATGCAGAACAATGCAGTTTGATGTGTGTGCAGAACAATGCAGTTTAATGCAGTTTTGACAAATGCGGAAAAATATGCAGTTTAGAATAATGCAGAATAATCAGTTTGATGTGTGTGCAGAACTGCAGAGTGTTTAATGCAGTTTTGACAAATGCAGAAAAATATACAGTTTAGAATAATGCAGGAAAATATGCAGAACAATGCAGTTTAATGCGGTTTTGACAAATGCAGAAAAATATGCAGTTTAGAATAAATGCAGTTTTTTTTTGTTTGTGCAGTTCTGAAGCTTGACTGAGTTTCTGAAGATGTACTGAGTGTAAACAGTTCTGAAGGTTGTAAAATAAAGTTGATGTTGTATGTTGCTGGAAGACAACAAGAGGCTTCAACCAATGCAGAGTAGTCCAGTTTGAGGGGAAATGTTAAGCATATGATACAAAGGGTGCAGATTGTAGTTCGAGAAAACATAAAGGGCCACCCAGTAAAATTCCAATATGCTGTCGTTTTGAGTTAGTTTTGAGTTAAACACTTGAGCTCAAATGAGCTACTGAATTTTTACTTTACTCTTCTCCTTCGTGTTTTCTCTCCTCTGTATATAAGAGGGATTTTTGATTGTTTTCAATTTAATTCAATCAATTCAAATCAGATCCAGTTTTGCTCTTTCTTTTTAATCTTCACAACTTGATTAATCAGGTGAGAATTATTCCCTGTTATCAATATATCATCCACATAAACTAACAAATAATCAATGAGAGTCCTTTTTGCAGTAGAACAACTTACATCAGAGGTAGAGTTAACAAAACCCCAGGTCAGTAAAGCGCCTTTCAACTTATCAAACCAGGCCCTTGGGGCTTGTTTTAAGCCATATAAAGCCTTATGAAGGCGACAAACTTGCTGTGATTGAGAGAATCAGAAAATCTTCTCTGCCAACTTACCATTGAGAAACGCATTATTGTTATCAATTTTTGAATCTCCCAATCATAATAAACTACAAAGAGAACATAATTGAATGGTTGATGCCTTTACTACGAGAAAACATATCAAAATAGTCTAGACTGGGAGTTTGTTGGAACCCTTTGGCCACTAATCGGGCCTTATATTTCTGTAAAGATCTATCAAAGTTCAACTTTGTTTTAAAGACCCTTGCTTCCTACAACATGCATTCCATCCTCATAGGGTACCATTCCCAAGTATGATTTCTCATTAGAGCTAGATACTCAGCTTCCATAACTTGTCTCCATTCTGGGATCTCCAAGGCTTCTTTAGCAGATTTTGTTCCTTAGAATGGTATGATTAAAGAGCAGAGTTGAGGCTACAGTTGACTGTGATTGTGTAGCCAAATTAGGAGTAGTAGTTGTTATGAGAGAGGTGAAAGGTGCTGAACTAGTCAGAGCAGTGGCATTTGTGACAGTATTTAATTGTTGTGAAATTGTATGTGTATAGAGTAAAACTTGAGCTGCTGCAGACTTGGATCTTGTAACCATATTGTGGACATTAGTGACGTTGTTCACTGGGTTGGAAGCTGAAGGTGCTAGAAAGGGTAGAACAACCTCTAACTGTATATTTGGAGAGGCATGAGCAAATGTTTGTTGAGTTGAAAAGGCAGTATTTTCACTTATTCTCTACTGAAGGGACATCAGACCTGACTTCTGGAGAGCCTACAACAACAGTATTTCACTTATTACTCTTGCTAAAGGGACATCAGACCTAACTTCTAGAGAGCTTGCAACAACATTAGTGGAAGAAGATAAATCAGTTTGATTTAGTAGAATAGGACTAGCATCATCTACAGGCTTCGGTAAGGACCAGATTGAAACAACTGGAGCAGTGGAGATGTCACTTGAGACAGAGGTTGGACAATCCTGATTGTGAAATCCAGATTTAAAGGGAAAATTAGTCTCATTAATTTAACTTGTCTGACTATGTAAATGCACCCAAAGGAATCATGCATTTGTAGCCCTTTTGATCAAGGCTATACCCCAAAAATACACATTTCCGTATGAAATGACAATTTTGCTGTTGATAAGGCCGAAGAAATGGGTAACAAATGCACCCATAGACTTTAAGATCAGTAAGGGAGGTTCATGTTGAAATTAGTTGATAAGGTGAAGCACCATCAATCACTGTTGAAGGTAGCCTATTTAGCAAAAAGGTTGCGTGCAAAAGTAGACCACCAGAATTTGAGAGGCATGGAAGCATGGGCCAAGAGAGATAGACCAAATTCAACAATTGATCTATGTTTCTCTCCACTCACCCATTTTGCTAGTGAAACTGAATTCCATGTTGCTGCAAATTGAGAAAAAGGTCGAAATTCCCCACCCCAATCACTTTGAAGACACTTGATTTTAGTCCCAAGTTGATTTTCAACAAAGACATGGAATTAAGTAAATACATTAAAGCTTCCGACTTAAGTTTCAAAGGGTAAATCCTGTGTATCGGCTAGTCATCCACAACAATTATATAATATCTATACCCTTCCTGACAACATGGGAGTTGTTCCCCAGAAATCAAATAAATGAGTTCTAATGGGACTTTTGCTCTTGAGGTGGAACTAGGAAAATGGCACTACTGTTTTGCCAAACTTGCAAGCTTCACAAAAGAAGTTTTATTACTGTCATCAGAAACTTTTACATTTAGTTTCTTTAAAACAGAGCAAAATGCCTTAGCACTTGGATGCCACAACACGGCAGAATCAAGAACTACAAATGTCTTATTACAAATCAAGAACATCATGAGCTACACTAGTAAAAGCCTTGGAAACATCTTGAACTGAACAATGTTCTACTATGATTGAATCTGGAGCTACATTCTTTATTACTGAGGCTGGAACTGTAGACTTTATTTTAGTGGGGCACCGGAGATTGAAAAGATTTTTGGAAAGTGTCCTTCTAGAAACACTAACTGATATAGGCCATCTTTAATTAGACCTTGTAGTAACACAACTTGACTGCGCTTATCCTTTACCAAGTAATATTCAGCATGGAATTCAACAATTACATTATTATCTTTGGTAATTTGTGAAATACTCAGCAGATTTTTAGCTCTCTTAGGAACACATAATATGTTCTGAAGTTTCAGAATCCTATAGGAATCAAATGAGGGTATGAACATCAAACCTGTGTGTGTAATAGGCAATGAGTCTCCATTACCAACTTGTACCTTAGAGGTGCCTAGATAGTTGGATTTTACCACCATATTTGAGGGGTCAGCGGTCATGTGATTGGAAGCCCTTGAATCGATGTACCATGATTGATCATTAATGGTTTTGGGGGGTGGCGATAGGTTGTGCAATAGCTCCTGAAGATGAGCTACCATTTGTAGAAGCTTGCTGAGATGAGAAACCAGAATGGTCAATGTTGATGGCTGAACCATATAGTATTTTATTAGAAGAATGATGATATGAAGATAAGTGTGATGTGGAGTGCATAGGGCTAGTAATCGGTGGAGTTAATGGAGTACCACCATGACCAAACATTTGACAAGGATATTGTGGAGCCAACGAGGGACAGCCATATGCTGAGTAATCATGGCATCCAGCAACTGAGTTATGAACACTCTTCAGCAACATAGAGTTGGAAGCAAATAGAGCTTGAACAGGTTCATTTGGCTTTAGGGTGAAAAAGGAACAAAGAGGATTGTGACTTGTGTGTTCATAATTAGAATTAGCTACTATGAAACCTTGATAATCATGATCGAAACAATGATAGCATTACAGTGCTGAATGCCCTGTTTTACCGCACACTTGACACACCAATCTTGGCTTAAAATAGCCCTTACCTCGTCCTTTTCCTTTGTTGAAGAAAGGAACACTCCCAAGAACAAATTGTGAGGTAGGATTATAAGGGAATTTGTTTTGTTCAGCAGTAAAAGCTCCTAACATCTGATTTCATGCACTATACTGAGGGAGTACTGGAGATTCACCAATTTGGTTTGAATTTGTTGAGGCATTACATGCTGAGGCACAACACCAAGATAAGCTGAAACAGTTGATTGAACACCACTTGGGGATAGTGTAAAGGCATTCCAAATGAACTCAAAGTTAAACTTGGAGCTATTTCAGGTGGGTTTTGTCTTGAAGCCATTAAAGCAAAGGATAAATGCTCATGAAAATTCATCATTGCACCATGTTGTCTTTCTAAATGCATTTCATGTTTATGTAAAAGGAACTGGGCTTCTTGGAGTGTAGCATGGCTGTTGTTTGACTAAAGATTTGCGACAACGGCATCATATTCTGGTCCAAGACCATCCAATATATATAAAAGTAATTCTTCATCATCAATATTCACTCCACTTGCAATTAGTTCATCCCTTAATTCCTTCATCCTCAAAACATATTCATTTATACTCTGTGACTCCTTTTTAGTTGTCTGTAACAAGTTTCTCAAATACAAAGTTCTTGCCTTTGAAAAGGATTGAAAATGTAATTCCAAAGTGTTCCAAATTTCATACGCACTGTGGCATTTTCCTACATGTCTAAACATTGACTCAGAAATAGAAGAAATCAACCAACTCACCAAGAATTGGTCAATTCGTTTCCACATATGGTTTGGCTTCTTAATCAATTCTTCACTTTCTTCTGATTTCTCAAATTTAAAGATTGAAGGACAAGGATTCTCACCAGTTACAAAGCCATCCAATTTGTGAGATATTAGTGCTGGTAGGACTTGCGAATGCTAGTAATTGTAGTTTCTATCAGTCAATTTCACAGTTAGTGTGG